GAATCTTGTTCAACCTGAGCGGCAAATGAAATGTTTTGACACTTTTCTTAGCCAGCACCTAATTAGTTAAGTGAATTTTAGCTAAAGCATTAATTATAATGTGTTGCTGGGAAATACTGACCTGCAAATTAGGAGTAATTGTTTGTTTGGAAGTTTTCAGCGCTTCCAAAAGAATACCGTATTTGTAAAGACTTCATCTTAGTTGTGTTTTTGAATTTTATAGGGATGAAACAGCTCCACTGTGTTCCTGCAATGTTTGTGCTATACAGCTTTGTAGGCCAGCCCACAGCTGAGTCTATTCTGATGCAAATATTTTTGACTGGCCATCTTGGAATATTATGAGGGGGGAAAAAATCTCTTTCAGAGAGGGATTTGTATGTCACCATATCTGTCTCTTATTACATTCTCATTGCACTTGATAATTTTGTTTGTTTATTTTTAAGTTTTTATCCCTATGGTGCTGTGTGTTGAAGAGAATGCCCTGAAATTTTGCAAATGGGTAAATGAGTCATCAGGTAGCTAAATGATATGCTTGAGGTAGAAGTGCTGGGTAGAGTTGGGAATTTGCTTTGTGTTGCCCAAGTTCTTTGCTACCGCTGCAACTGCACCACAGCTTTTCCTCCGAATATAGCTTCAAGAATTGGAAAAAGAGTTAACGTAAAAGGAATCCTTGCCTAGTCTGTAATGATCAAAAAAATGCATTTAATTGATGCTGAGGTGATTGCTTTACTGTAATGCAGACCTTATTGAACAGCACGTAGTGATATCTCTATATTGGTTCTTTAACCTGGGTAAAGTTCATGCCATATGTGTGGGGTGGTTTTTTGTTTGTTTTTTAAACAGTCATTGCTAACCACTTTTTATGACAGAGATAGCCTATCCTGTCACTAGCTGAAACATGCTTTATGTTGTTGTGGTTCCTATTACTCCAGTTTCACTTTGAGCCTCTTCTTATAGATGTTTAATTTTCCTGTTTTGTTTACTGAGAAAACTTCATGTTTCTTAAGCTACAATGTCATCTGTAAGTGATTGATGTTCTTTATTTAATAAGCCTATCAAAGTACAGAGACGTGTTGGTGGAAAGGACGTTTTTGCTTTCTCTTCACACTTCAGCAAGTCTGAAGGTAGACCAGCTTCTCAAGAAATGGTTTAAAATAATTATGGACTCAATACTTCACTATGTTTTTTCCTGCCTTTTTTCTTCCACATTCCGTAATCTTTTGGGAAATTCTTAAATAACTCAATTATAAACAAGCTTTGGGTTTGGTTGCTGTGGTTTGCAGAACGTCTTGTTGTCAGAGCTGTTAAGGATGTAGACCTTGATCTCAAGTTAATACTTGCAGACATCCTGCAAACGGTGGTCTCTTACCCCACTGAAAGTTTCACCTGGAAAGCTTCCTCCTGTGTTTATAAAGTTCATTTTGAGCAAGGTGGGCAGTATTTCAATAATTGAATGATACTTAAATAGAAAATTATCTGGTAGCTTTTCAAACTGAGAAGTAAATTGATGTTTACCGGAAATAACTAATGTTGAAATTTGAGCCAATACTGCATTTAATCTCATGAGGGAGTTATAAATCAGCAAATTTGACAATGGAAGGATAAAATTAAAACCAGAGATAGACAGACACTTGGCCTTTTTTTGTAGGAAAAGTTTGGTTGCAGTTCTAGAAGTTATCAGAACAGCTTTTATAGAGCAACTGTCTTTGTAATTATATAGCTTTGGGTATCGTATATGGCATGTATAGAGTTTAAAAGAATGCACCACCTGAAATTTTTGTCTTTATCTTTGAAATTGTCAGGGAAAGTGTAATGTTACAATAGCAAGTTATATGTATAGAATTATATTTTCTCTGTTATAAAAGCACATTGCATCCATTACTGGTAGTTAACAATAATTTAATACTAAATGCAAGCCCTCTGTGAAATTTAAGGAGCTTTTACAGTCTCAACCGAGTCTTTTCTGTCTTCTTTACAAAACACTGCACAGTGGCAAGATACTTAAATACCAGTTTGTTTTCACCTCATCTGTTCAAGGAATTACAACGTAACTCATGGTTTTAGTCATTTGTTTGATGATTCTACCTTTTGCTCATTAAATACTTTTCTTGTTTTTAAATGCATCAGATTAAATAAATGAATAGTCAGTACTCTGTGTAAGGGGGTTTTGACCTCACTATTGGTCAAAAAAATGCTTAAGCTAGGAGTGTGTTTAGTTCAATTTGATACCTTGAAGTATCCTATTCATTCAGTAAAATAAGCCTTTTTTCACTGACTGGGACAACTAGTTTCAAAATGTTGTTGGACTTCCCTCTCCCAATTCTGTCCCCCATTGCTGCCAAATACATACAGGATCCATACAGAATCTGGCACCATATTTTTCAAAAATAGATTTTTTTTTTTAATAAGCCTGTAGATTCAGGTATTGGCAGTAAAGCTAAAATGTCTCAAGGTGGATTGTGGGCTTGACACAGAGCAAGGACGCAGGCTGACCACCACGTGGTAGAACGTGACTGCCTGTCACCACGTTCCTGAGCTCTGCTTGTTTAACTGATTCTGCTCACGTGGATGTCCTACAGGTAGCAGCATATAACACTGTCCTCTGCACGTCAGAGCTTTGTTTTTCCATCTGTAAAATAGAGAATGTCCTTGTTCAAATTAGGTGTTGCCTTTTGTAATTGTTTCTTGGACAGATGGAGAGAAAAGCTTCTGGAGCTCTTGCCTGCTTTAGAGAAAGCCTGTCTAGAAACTGATATTCCATGAGAAACTAAATGGGAGACAAGTATAATGCAGTTGTAATCTTTGTACAAAAAGATGCTTTTCAGCTAAATGTAACTTAAAAGGTAATGTAAAATACAAGGGTACTTTGGATCTGCAATTGTCTCTGCAACTAAGGCTCCTTCAGTAAGCTGAATAGAGCAATTTTTTAATTCTTTATAAGATCCTTCTAGTCTACACAAGACTAGAAATGTGGGTTAAAAGGCTTTAAGCTGCTGAGGATACCTTTTTTTTAAATGACTTTTTGCGGGGAGGGGAATCTTTTTTCCTTTGAAAGCACATCTTAAGACTTATTTCTAAGCAATCTTTAATTACTTCATGGCAAAACCTGATCATATTCCTAACACTTTAAAATACGTTAAAAATGTGCAGATGGAGCGTGTGTGGGTTTTTCTTCTGTGATACACCATCTATTTTAGCAGTAAAGCTATGGTGGCTGAAATTGCGTTCATAATTGCCTAGGAGCGTGGTCAATTTTGTAGTGCAGACCAGGCATTACTACATCTTCCATATGTTGGTATCAGTTATGAAAGCCTACACAACTGTGCTCCACCTACAGTGCTAATCCAATTGCACTCCAATTGTGCTCAGACTAGTATCTGCTCTGTAAGATCTGAACTTCAATTTCTTTTTAATTAATTGCTTTTTGCATAGCATTTTGAAAATGTAAAGGGTAATCTAAATGTTAAATGTTGGTCATCTGTATTGCGGCCTCTAATTGGAAGGATGGAGCAAGCACTTGCCAACTGTTCCCTACCTCTTTCAGTTTGCTGAAGAAATCCTGCAGTCTTGTCGTCCTTTTGCCTGCTCTTTGTGATAATTGCCATGCACCTTTATGAATCTAAGTTTTCCCAAGCAACTTATGCCTTTCTGTATTTAATGAAGACGTTGTTTTTTCTCTTTCTTAAGAATGTCAAGCTGTCAGCTGAAGTAGAACCATTTATCCCTCAGAAGAAGGGTCCAGAAACACTAATGATCCCTATGGCGCTTCCTAACGACAGTGGAGGAGTTAATGGCGTGGAACCAACTCCTATCCCCAGTTACCTGATCACTTGCTATCCATTTGTACAGGAAAACCAATCCAATAGGTAATATGTGGTTTTGTTTTTTTTTTATCGCAGATGATTTCTTTTTAAGTGGGTTTGAACTTGAGAGGAGTTAGTGACAGTCAAGTGTATATTCACTTTGGCTGCTGTGTTTAATCTCCTGACCCGTCACGGGTGAGGAGGAAGTTTGTGTCCTGTCCTGTTTCCTCTGCCCTTATTTCCTTCTCTTTACTTTCCTCTATTCATATTCCTTGTTCCTTTTCTTGCCTTTGCTATGCAGGTCTGGATACAGATCCCTCACAAAGTCACCCACTGTGCTCTTGCATCTTCTAGCCCAATCAAGAGATCTGTGTTTGAATCTGAGTCTGAAACAAGGCACCAGGTGTCCTACTTTCCTCCTGCCATGGAGAAACAGTACGCAGCTGACGCTGTTGTAGTCAGTCTAGCTGACAGTCTAAGTCTGTCTAACCAGCTTTCTTTGCATTATTAGTTATAATGCATCGAGTTTATAACCTCTATTCTATCCCAGATCTGTTCTCTGAATGCACAGCCTAGAGGGTGATCACTTTGTATCTATCTCTTGTATTCATTAGTTGGTATTTATAAACGTAATGTATGCAAAGAATAGCACTTCATAGTGCTGCTGCACTTGAATAGGTAAGAAGAAAAATATTTCTTCTAGGAACTGCGTACTGCAGATCTGTAAGATTATCATGCATCTTTCCTTTTTCTTTTCTCTAATATTTGGGCCTTCACATTTTCTATGTAGACAGCCTCCTGGTCTCTTGGGGCTTGAAGAGAGAGAACTGAGTTCAGAGTTTCCAGGGGGGGTCTTTTTGTACTGTGCTGTATCACAAATGAAAATGTAGGAAGAAGTCCCTACACTTGGTTTCAGTAGTAAGTTTGTAAATACCTGTTTTTCCTGTGTGCTTCTTAAGGCCTGTATTTTTGTAGGAGTTTTGAGCAGAGTGTGAGTTGATGGCTTCCTCTCTTAATTTACTCAAGCACTTGGCCCTGAATAAGCTGATGAATGTTACTGTTCCATCTGTTTATTTTATTTCCAATGAAATAAACAGGCCTAAAGTACCTGTAGCCATTTGCTTTGACATTTAAATACTAAGTTTAATATTAGAAATTTAAACAGTAAGTTCACACAGGTGCCAAGATAAGCAAAACTCTTTATCACTTGAATGTAATTTGAGCTTTTATATATTTTTGTTAACATAATTTAATTGCAATCTCTAAGAAGCTTAACATCTTAAAATTTTATTATTAAAAGCTAAGAGTCCATGAAATATGTCTAATATATATTTTTGCGGGGCGTGGGGTAGTCTGAGTTTTTTGAGGGGAAAACTTCCTCAGCAGCCGCCTTTTCCTCTTGATTTTTTCAGACAGTTTCCATTATATAACAATGACATCAGATGGCAGCAACCCAACCCAAATCCTGCAGGACCATACCTTGCTTATCCTATAATATCTGCACAGCCACCTGTTTCTACAGAATATACATATTACCAGCTGATGCCAGCACCATGTGCTCAGGTCATGGGTTTCTACCATCCTTTCCCTACACCCTATTCTGCACCCTTTCAAGCAGCAAATGCTGTAAATGCAGTTACTACAGAATGCACCGAGCGTCCTAACCCGCCAGGCCAAGTCTTTCCACTATCCGGTCAGCGAAGCCGAAGCAGTAACAGGGGACCAGTCATACAAAAAGTAAGCTTGCTACTGGCCACCTGTTGATAGGATGGATAGAGCTGTATAGGAAATCCCTTCACGCAGGAAGCGTGTATCTCGTTCAAGCAAGAATATGTATGGCAGTAATATCAATGGGAGGGAAAGTGGGCGGAAAATACGTGAATCGGAGTAATATTTTGTATAGTGTCTTTGTATAGTGACACGGTACTTACGTTTTGTGTTAAAATGCTTGGTGAGCTTATAAAACCTGATTAGTGCAATAACAGAAACTCTCCTCCCTCCAGTGCCGCTCCACTAGTTAGATCTGAGTTTAGAATTAGTTCCTTAGAGAACAAAATACGCCCATACTTTGTTTACCTTTTGTTATGAGGTGGAAGTATAGTACAGGTCATGCAGAAAAAGGGGGAAAGGTTAGTAAACCAAATATATAGGCTTGTCATAAAATGCTAATTAATCTCCTGTCTTCAAATATGTGCTTCTGCACAGAGTGTTATGTTAGAACTTGTAATAATTGTTCTATTTATTTTGGTTACAACTCTGAAGCCAAATCTTGTGGCTTATGTGTATATATGGCTACTCTTTTAAAACAGCAGCAACAGTTACAGCCGCACATAAAAAATAAACGGCCTCCAGTGAAAAATGTAGCAACCCAAAAGGAGACTAGTTCATCAGGACCTGAGAACAGATCAAAGATTGTTTTGTTGGTTGATGCATCACAGCAAACAGGTAACTTCTCTCATATTTTCTGGATGTACTAAATGAGTAGAACTACATTTCTGTCACCATGTTTCCTGGAACGGGGTGGACCTGTTTGAGAGAGCTGCTAAGGTAGATCTGTGCTGATCAAAAAGGTAATGAAGAAAAGGTACTGGTGGCTGTAGAGACCTATTGAATATGTCAGATTATAATTTTGCGATGATGCGGTGCTCCTGCAGAGACACAAAGTAACCCTAAGGTATTAAGACCTTAGCCACTGTCAGAAACGCTCTATCTTTTTGGAGTTGATTAATAGTTGGAAAACTAGACCTCATTTCTTTTTCAGTTCAGTGCTATCATTAATTTTACTAAAGGGAAATTACTGTCCTATGGAAAGACTTTAGATTTTTTGCATCTCATTTGTTTTTTATAGTATATAGGTTTTTTGTTTTTAACGATTCCTGTACAAGTCATTATATTTTTATTCTGTCTTGCAGACTTTCCTTCAGATATAGCTAATAAGTCACTGTCTGAGAGCGCATCTACAATGCTTTGGAAATCAAAAGGCAGGCGCAGAAGAGCTTCTCACCCTGCTGCAGAGTCCTCTAGCGAACAAGGCGCAAGTGAAGCAGACATTGACAGTGACAGTGGTTATTGTAGTCCAAAGCATGGCAATAACCAGGCTGCAGCCATGACTTCAAGAAATACAGATTCTTGCACAATGAATGTGCGTAGACATAAGTCAATAATTTAGCTGTGTTTATATCCTGCACAATAATAAAAACTATTGAAATAATTGTTATAATTGTTTTTCCTTTTCAGGTTGTAGAACCAGCAATAAATACAGGTAAGCATTTTCTTAGCTAGTAAGCTGTATCATGTTTTCCTGAGTCGTTTTGCTAGGAATCATCTCTCTGTGCACTTCAAGCATGCTACTCCAACTGATCGGGTACTTCAGAAGATCTCTTTACGGCTCCCCTCCGCCCCTGTAGTTGCTTGCTGAATGGGTGGATAAGAAGTTGTTACTAATGATGTATTAACAATTATTGTCCTTTAAAGGAGAAAAAAGTGGAAGACTCCAAAAGGAAGCACTCGGACAAAAGTTGTTTGTCGTAGTTATATTTTATTCTCAGGCTTCCTTACCCTGTTGAACTGCAGTTATATTCATATTTGAGTAGTAATTACACTGCTCTATACAGCTCTGAGTTAAAAGAGCTCTCATTTCTCTATTTGAGAAGCACTCGAATACTTTTCTAGAAGTTTTAGAGAAGTACTGTAACATGAACAAACATTTTACTTAGTCTGGTAGTAGAGGGTAGTGCTATTAGCTGTTGTTTATGATTGGACTGAAAATTGAGGATGTGAACCTGAGATTTCGTTTATCTGCTTGCTTACTAATTATCAGTTTGGGCAATTTGTATGTCTGTAATCTCACCTTTTCCATAGAGGCAATTCTGCTAACTCCTGGAAATAGCTACAGAAATAAACGTTGTCAGATCTAGTCTTTCTCAGAGAATTTTCTAATTTAAAAGTGTGTTTCTGGCTTTGGCGTGTGTGCTCATTATGATGCGTTCTGTCGTACTAACTCATTTTTCATAGACATCACTTCTGTCTCTTTCAGCAGGTGTGGGTTGGACTAATGTAAATTCCCAGGCAACTCAAAAAAAGCCTTGGATAGAAAAAACTCAGACATTTTCTAGAGGTGGAAGACAAGCTGAGCAAAGAAGTAGTTCACAGGTATGTTATTAATGGCTCTAAGTTTAAGCATTCTATTTTTTTAACTGTATGAAGACAAGGAATTTGTAATGGATTAGAAAATTAACATACAGCAAATAATCAGTGAAAACAGTGAATAAAAAGTGTAGAAACTCAAGCTGGGAGTCGAGCTGAACAGACCCCCTCCAAATCACATGTTTTTTGTGCTACCACTATGTATGATTTTACATACTTGGCAATTTTCTGTCTATATTATGTTCTTTACATGCATCTACCTATAAAGCAAGTTACATATATAAAGTAACTTGTGAAATGAAGACAGTGTGGGTTAATAAAAAAGCCAGTGCAGTGATTTCTATACAGTAATGGGATTTGGGGGGGGGAAGGGAAAGTTTTGTTTCATTTTTTTTGTTTAAATCTCTTCACGCTTCAAAATACTTAAAAATCTTAAACTTTCTAATGAAAGTGATGAAATAGAATCCTATGTTCTCACTCTTGACTTGCAAATTTTGTTTTTATATTGATGTATCATATTGTTGGTTTTATTATTAATAAATACATTTCAATGGTTTTGTGCTAAAATTTGAAGAGTACATTTTTATAAAACTTTGTGGGACAGTATCTCTGTAATTAGTGTGTGAGAAGAAATTAACCTTCCCCTGCCTCCCAAATGAAATGAAATAGTCAAAACCAGGAAGGCCAAAATGACTGTGTCTGCTAAGACCTCATTTTCATCCATATTTAGTTATTGCGGACATGAACACTAGAGCTTGAAATGGGGATTTCTTTATCATAGGCATGTCTGTATGTGCATTGAGATAGCTTGTCCTGTTCAGTTTATGTCAAATGGATTTGTTGATTTGTTGATTTGTTTTGGATCTTGGTCTTCGGTCCCCTGTTTTTCTATTAAGAAGCCTGTTGTCCCTTCTATGTGGCAATCTAGCAGTTCCAGATTTGGGGGGCGGGGGGGTTGTCTTTTTAACGTTCTGTAGCCAAATTAAAAATGCTGTTATGAACCAGTTTTGGTAGTTTAGGGTGTTGGGAGAATAAGAGGGACCAGCTTTCTTCTCATCCTGTAGACTCTAAATCTGGCAGTTATTTTAGATATTTAAAAACAAAGCTGGCACAAAGAGTTTTAAATGAGGTTTCACTAGCCAATTTCACTGTACCTCAAGGTAAAATTGTCCTAGAAACTGACTGTTTTCCTTTGAAATTAAACTTGCACTCAGGCCATAGCAAGTTTTCTTGGGAAATACGAGTGATCAAGGTATGCTTCGTTTCCCACCAACCCCTCTTGCGCCTGGCTTTCCACCAGCCTTCCACTTCATAAACAGGGGAATGTTCATACCACTGTTCCGAGGTCTCTGGTCTCCAGAGAGCTCTGTGCCCCTGTGTTGTTATAAAACACATGTTGAGAAGGCGATAATTGCACACAGAAAAAACGTATAGTGGAAGAAAGTCCTTTGGTTACAAACGGTTCCTCAGGGTTCACGTCTCGTTTCTGTGGAGTCATCAGCAGCTCCTGCATCTTCCTTCGTGTTTGTCCAAAAGGACCCTATTTGAGTGCTCTTCAGGTGTCTGCTGCGATCCTAAATTAGAATTTGAGAGATGAATGGAGATAGTATATGCAAAGAGTTTGCCAATATCACATTTAATTGCTAGAGGAAAAAGCTTCTGAATTTCACATCTTTAACGGTTAAAGCAGCAAATCTGTGGCAATTCTGTAGCAGTACTCACAATGTTATCTTTCGTGAAGGCTATGACAATATACAACGGACGCTTGATCCGCCTATCTGCGTATTGAGCCACGTTTGCTGCTTTGCTTTAATTTTATAGTTATATTAATTAAATCCATAGGCTGACCATCCTATGTCAGTCTTTTAGTTACTTCTTTGGTGGTGGAGGCAGCCTTCTGCTTTCACAAAGAGCTTGCAAAAATACATTTTCCTCTTCTGCTGCTGTTGTGCCTTGTCTCATGTTTATGCCCATGTTGAGTATGGCTATTGAGACATCTCTCGAGAAAAATCTTCTGGTTTTGGCAGATGACTTTCAAGTCTCTTAACAAGTATAAAACCTTTCTGCAGTGAAAGAGAGAAGAGATTCTCTATAGGTCCTGCTGAAGTGACAGTCCTGCCCTGTGGTACACGTGTGGTACAAAGGTCACAGTACATTGTAGTTTTAATGTTCTGGGATAAGTGGTCTGAATGAGGTAAGAGTGAAACATTTGAGGGTAGATTACTCTTGTAACCTCAGATAATTAATGTAATTATCAAGTTTTTAGAAAAGCTGTTTTGCTTTTTTTTTTGGTGTGTATGGCATGACTTTCTGAACTATTAGGTATCTTCCCGCCTGGCCCCAAGAACTTCAAGGATCCTCCTCCCTAATAGGATCTAGAAGGGAGCAGAGAGAAGTGGATGGCTTTTAAGTGTCAAGGCAAACCTAGGCAAATCTGAGGTTTTTAAAAGCTTAGTGAGTAGTACTGGAAGCTGCTGTATTATTTTCTACTTGAAAATACTACTGAAAAGTACCATAGAAGATCAGCATAGCAGGAGTCGTAACTACTCATAGCAGTAAAGCAAGCCAGCAATGCTGGATGTAATTGTTGAAATACAAATTCATAGAAGCTTATAAGAACAAAAAACTATTTAAGTTATCCCGTGACAAAGTAATGGGAGATAGAACACTAGTAATAGGGACCTGGTTTTGTGAACAGTACACTTGACAGAGCTTTTTCAAAGGTCTGTTTAAACATGAGTGATGGAATAACGTTTTAAAAGTGGATTGAGAACATAATTGAAGCTTTCAGCTGTACAACGGATGAACAGAAATTACAAGCTGGCAAAAACATAAGGGTGTTATAGGTGTGCGCAATCTGCTTTAGCATTTTGGGTCTGTTTCTTATAATATGAAATGGAAACACTTGGTGAAAATAAATTCCCATTCATGCCTCAGCTAGGTTGCTTTGCTGGGATATGGATTTGTTAGGGCACCTACATCCCCATGTGGCAGAGTCACCTCTGCTCTCTTTTAACCAATGAACAAATGGATACTTGCACAAAGCAGAATAATTCTGCAGAGAAGACGCCCAGTCAGCAGATCAAGGATTTTGACTCTGGTGTTTCACGTTTCATATGATGTCCTGAAACTTTCTTTATTGAAACCAACTTACTAGAAAAACTTCTTGGAGCAAAAAAAAAAAAAACCAAAAAAAAACCTGCTAGCATTTGTGGATTCTTTTTTTCTGTTTTCTCTCCTTTAAGGCAAAACCCTAAAATACATAGCTTACTGAATCTAACTTCACAAAAACTGTACATCTTTTGTGGCTAATTAGTGAACACGAATGCCATGCATGCACGGACATTTTGAAAAACTGAAATTACAAAATATTGATCACATCTCTTATTTTTAGTCCGGTTTCAGATGCCGAGGCCACAGCACATCTTCAGAAAGAAGGCAGAATGTGCAGAAACGACATGAAAAACCTCTCACTATGAGTCAATCAGGCAGAACAGAGCAGAGTCCTGAACCTCTGTATTTTGAGGTAGTGTTGTATGAAAACTACTTTCATATTGTAGTAAGATAAGCCAACACTGGTAGTCTCAACATATAGATAAGTGATAGTCTCACCAAGGAGAAGTTCCAAAGCCATCTGGCTCTGCCATGTAGTGCACTAACTTCACTTATTATATGATGCTTTCAGTGTGTGTGTGTGTACCTGCACAACAACTTGTAGTGGGGTGTTGTGGAAAGTGTGAGGACTTAAAACTGTGGAGGAGAGGGGGGGTGGTTGTTGTGGTGAACAAATTAGGTAGACAACTTTCAAGTAACCTTTTATTTACCTGAGAATAAAGACTAATGTATTTGGTGATTTTTTTTATCCAAATATAGTTAATTTCTTTAATGTACAATGCTAGTTTAAGGTTTTTGTTTGTTTGTTTTGGAAAAGTTCATTTAGATATAGAAATCTGTTGTTAATTTGGTTATCATGTCCTATTTGTGTAACTCTTACGCCTTTCCAGCTTAAGATCAAACTTTAGATAGGATTCGGTTCATGCCCTTCTAGTTTTCAGCCATTTCAGTTGATGCTTTTCCTGTGACATTCAGTTCCACTCTCGTCACTTTTAATTTGTATATTGTTTAGGATGAAGATGAATTTCCAGAGCTAAATAGTGACAATGGGAGCAGCAAGAGCACTAACATCCAGCAAAAGATTTCACCCAAAGTAGTAAGTAATTCTTTTGTTTTGCAAAGCATTTTTAAGTAGAGGGAAATTGTTTTGAGATTGCCGTGAAGTTAATGTCTGTCTTTATGACTCTGTTACAATGATTTTAATATAATAATTCTGATGACTTTTAAGGTATTTGCAATACCAATCTAGACTTTAAAGAAATGCCAATTAAATAAAATAACAGTGGTGTAGAGAAGCCATGTGAAAGCGGACTGCTGGATTTCTGTCTGCTAATGAGATTGTCAATAATGAGTGAGACTGTAAGATACATGATGGATGCTTCTCCATCTCACTAGTAGTGTGCTTTTCATAAACTTTGTACTTTTTGAAGTTGCATGATAAACTTTAAGTGAGCATTAGACATGATAGGATTTCTGAAACTAAAATTGATTTGAGGTGCTTATCTGACTTTTTGTACTAATACTTAAATTACATCTTGTGGCACGCTTTATTCTTTCTGACTTAAAGGGCTTGCATTCAGACTGCTAGTTTGGTGCAGACTTTTATTAAAATCGTCAAATCCACAAATATGTAACCATACTTTTAGTTTTTAAAATAAACACAATTAACATAGTTTATTCTGAAAGGAACATAAACTAAGAGAATCTGCTTTTAGATTGTACAAATGGATGATGCAAAGATGCTCTTTTAATACTTGTATGGTTCTACAACAAAACATTTTAATAGATAGTCTAGACTTATTTCATCTATTTGACTATTCTCCAAGAAAGTCAAGTCCTATATGAAATCCTTGGAGGGGGCACCTGTATTTAGTAATTAGACTGGAAAACATTCTGAAGAAATTGGGCTAAAAATGTTCTCCTGTACAAAGATGAAATATGCATAAATAATTTCTAGTTTTATCACCTTCCTGTGTGATCTAGCTGTACTTAATCATTATAATTTCATATTGCTGACCGAAACAATTGTTCATTTGGTTTGTGGAGTGACACTCCTCCTATGAGAGAGGGAGAGAGAAATAAAAAAAAAAAAAAATTTCATTTGAGAAGCCGTTAATTGCGTTTTATGCACTTTGTTTAAAATGCTAGTTGGATGACTTACCAGAGAATTCTCCAATCAACATAGTCCAAACTCCAATTCCTATTACAACATCTGTACCGAAGCGTGCAAAAAGTCAGAAGAAGAAGGCCTTGGCGGCAGCGCTTGCAACAGCTCAAGAATATTCAGAGATAAGCATGGAACAGAAAAAACTCCAGGTCTGTGGCTGTTCTTTTTCCTCCCCCCCCCCCCCCCCCCGTAGTAAAAAGGAATATGTATTTTCACTCTGTGATAGCAAGAATCTCTCTGGAAAGACTGTTTTGCTGGTATTTATCAGCACGTGATATTCTTGTTGTAGGAGGCTTTATCAAAAGCAGCTGGAAAGAAAAGCAAGACCCCTGTGCAGTTAGATTTGGGGGACATGTTAGCAGCTCTTGAAAAGCAGCAACAAGCAATGAAAGCTCGTCAGATCACCAACACCAGGCCTCTTTCATACACAGGTATTCCTAATCTGTTTGACTCGCTAAATGCATTTTGTGACAGTATACACATGAAATGTGATCATTCTGAACTCTTTAAATACTTTGTTCTGTTAAGTTTTATTTTGAGGTATGCACATAAAAAGTTGTGAATTTCTTAATGCATTTATTTTTTTTTTAAATTTACCTGTGCTACCTTACTACTTAGTTGCACAATGCAATGGTGAATAGTCTTACAGCATTGAAGAAAAACTTCTGCTAAAACACCTACTACTCAAATAACATTCACTTGTTGAGAGTAATGCGGTGCTAAAGTGAATATGTGAAAAGAACTGTACTAGGTCAAACAGAACATCTGTTCAAAAATTTTCTTTTGGAAGCAGCTTAGAGGGGATATGCATAGCTGGTGCACAAGGGTAGTTCTCCAGGATGTTCTTCCAGCCTCTAATGATCATAGTTCAGGGGCTCCTGACCCAAGGTTTTCTCAATCCAAATTTGTTTCTTAATTAAACTATCCATCACTCTTTCATTACATGCTTTTACTGTCCTTAAGGTCCTATGGCAGTGAGTTACTGCATGTTGCGTGGAAAAGCTCTTCCTTCTAGTGATTTGACCTTTTTTTTTTCCTTTGTGTCCCACTCATAATGTTGTTAGCCCTCATAGGCCTTGTATTATGAAGAGAATGAGCAATCATTCCCTGCTCTCCTTCTGTATAATTCTTAAAGATCTGTTATCTCCTTCCCAGTCTAAAGAGTCCTGGTCTATTCAGCTGTTATTCCTTGTACGGAAGTTTGTCCGTATTTCTGATCATCCTGATTACCTTCTCTGTACCTTCTTGTAGTTCTGCTGTATCTTTTTGGAGATGTAAGCGAACACATATGCACAAAATATGAAGTTATGGTTCCACCATGAATTTATGCAATGGCTTACATGCTTTTTTCCTCTATTTCTTTTCCATCTCCTAATATTAAATTAGACTTTTTAGTGCTTGCTGCTGAATGGAGAATTGATGTTTTCATAGTTATCTATTTTAACCCCCCAGATCTCATTCCTAGGCAGTAGCACATAAGCTGGAGTTCATTATTATGCACATAGTTACCATTTTCCCTCATGTGTGTTTCTTCATTTACCTGCTTTAAGTTTCAGCTGTGTTAAAATACTAATTTGGTTTGGCAAGACTACATCAAACAAAACTCAGCAAAGAACAGTTGGCATTTTCATTTAAGACTGTTTTATTCTGTTTCTCACAGAAAGCATACTTAACAGCGTGCTGCACTCCCTCATGTGTTGTCCTGTCAGCTAACAGTCTTTGGCAACTAAAAATCAATATCTAAATAAATATTTGCAATGTATCATATTACTGTAATCCTACTAATGACTACATGTAGTCATTTGAGAGAGATTCTTTACCAATGTTATGAAGTAATTACTTTCCTGAAATCTATAGCTTCCTAAAACGTGAGGCTAAATTGAAGAAAGCTTAAAACCATCTGGAAGCAACAATATCTGATGATGTAATTTTCCTGTCATTATGAACTGTTTTTTTCCAGGGAAGGAAAATGTACTTTGAGAATTCATCAGTGGAAATTCTGAAATCAGTGTTGAAATAAAGCTGACATATCTTTTAGTGAGACTAATACCTTTCTCTTATTTAGTCGGCAGTGCTGCTCCCTTTCATACCAAAGAATCTGCTAACAGAAAGTCCTTAACAAAGGGGCAGCCAGCTATGGGTTGCCTTAATCCTTTGGATTCAACTGCTCCAAAAGTGAAAAGAGGAAAAGAAAGAGAAATTTCAAAACTGAAACGCCCTACAGCACTTAAAAAGGTAAACATGACAACTGTTGAGTGTGTTGATCTACATTCAAACTTCAGAAATAAAAATTGTTATTTTTCACCTGAAGTCTAGAGACCCTGAGCATAGAGTAAGCAATTATAAGCTTTTATGTCTAGTTCCTATTATAGTGATGTCTTGTTCTTTGGATTTAGGCGTGTAACTTGATTTCTCTGCACCCGTGGCAGATAAGGGATAATGCATGTCTATCTCAATAGCAGTTATAAGAACTTTTTACTATAAGCATTAAGTCACATGGGCTAAACTAGGTGAGCTTTTCCATGCTGTAAAGCCCTAGTATGTAGGGCGATGTAGTATACTAAGCTAAATCCCTCCCCCTTTTTTAAATGGAGATATAACTTGAAGTCAAAGGCTGCTTTTTAATTGAGTGAATTTAGAATTCGTTGTGTATGTATGTATATACGTACACAAATAAAACAGATATGTACACAGAGATATAATACATTATGTGAAGAAATCAAAAGGTAAAATACAGAAAACCTATCTTTAAAAAAAGGAAGAAAATGTGAAAGTTCCTCGATGTTACACTCAGTTCTTCTCAGGATCACCTTGTGAAATGGGCAGGTGGGATTTGGCAAAACTGTGTGTGTATGACAGTTGGCACTGGCTACTTTGCTTTTTTTGTTCTCCCCAGCAAGCTTGTTTTTCCTGACTTATCCATGATGCGTTTGGGCTAGAGAAATGCAGAGCTACCTATTCAGAAAAGTTTTCTAACCTGTCTGTTGTGGAGGCCTTTGTAATTTTTTGTTGTTGTTGTTATCCATCATAATAATGGCAAAATATCCATGGCTGCTTAGTTATCTTTATGCCTTTGTTACTATAAATGAGAGGAGCCTATCTGTTATAGGGGGGCTTCACAGGGACGCCGTAGTGTCCTTGCATAAGGAGTGTATGCATGGTGTGGGTCACTTGTGGGTGGGATTTTTTGTGTGCTTTTTGTATGTTTTGTTTTGAAATGGATGGAGATAAAGAATTGTTGATGAGTGAGTGTTCCTTACTAAAAGAAGCTCTGGAAGTACTTAATATTTAAAACAAAGTGATTTGAATAAAGTACTGCCTGTGATCGATGAGGAAACCTGAAATGGTTTCAGTTTTTTCTTGGTTGGTATGTTTTGTGATTCTAGTGTGAGTAGGAAGGTTTGAAACAAGTTGGTTAACTTTATTTTGTCTTTTGTTCAGTGAAATGGGACACTTTTCTTTGGTACCTATATATTTTTCAAGTGCTGACAATTGCTATTTTTGTCCATAGATTATTTTGAAAGAGAGAGAAGAAAAGAAAGGCCGTTTATCAGCAGATCATAACCTTTTGGGATCGGACGAACAGAAAGAGGTTCATATTAACTTGACCTCTGATCAGTCTCAGGAATTGGCCTCTCAAGAAGGTCTGTCTCTTTTTTTCTTTTTCCTCTTTCTCTCTGTGTCTCAGAATAAACCTCACATTGCAGTAATCAACTCATTTTAATATATTGTCTTTTTTAATAGCATGCAACACATTTTATAGGCGTTAGCTGCCTTTTTTTTTTTTTAAATCACATTATGAAACGCTAGAAATTAGAACCCAGTTTTTCTGGGATGCCTTGTCTGTACCTCAGTCGTGGAGAGCTCAGTCCAGAATGTGTGCTAATTACCTCCTCTCTGTGTAGCCTCTTAATTCATTTTTCTTGAGTGGATGTTTCAAACACCTCAGAGTTGGTTTAGACTTTTTTTTTTTTTTTTAAAGCAGACAAAACTTGATCTTCCTCAGTAGCGATGGCATGATGGTGATCTGCTTGTGGGCTGGGCCATGTTGATCGGAATGCATTGTAATGATGAGCAAACTCAAAGTTCTCCAGATACAGAAGTTTTTTTTTTTTTTTAATTTTAAGTTTTTACAGTTTTTTTTTTTTTAACGTGCTGAACACTCCTGTCAATAAACTGGAATGTCTGGACTATCTGTTTGCAGTGACAGCTCTGAGCAACAAAGAATTTCCAATGTCCTTTTTTTTTTTTCTTTTTTTTTTCCCCCCTCCTCCTCCCGAATCCCTTTTGGAGAGGGGGGGGAGGAGGGTCAAACTACCAAAACTCCAGATGTACCATTTCAAAACTTTTCTTTTGAGTGACCTTATCTGTTAAAAATTTTGCCTGACTTTAGCTGACTGAAGACCAGTGTGAAAATCTTCAGTATCCCAGGGATGGATTAATTAGAATATGAAAATAGTAAAAGAATTATTGGAATAAGTTGTAGCATTTGGGCAGGTCGTCTTGTCTGTTCTGTCTCTTTCCCAAACTTAGCTTTGGATTTCGTTTTATGAATAGTCAAATAGCACTTGTTTACCCAACCCACACCAAGTGTCTGATATGTGCTTGTTTAGCTTTTTGGTTTTTCTGCCTCTCAGCTGCCCCTCCGGGGAAGAATACTGTTTAGTGTTTTCAGAATATAATTTGGAACAGAGTGTGGGAGAGATGGGTGATAAACATGATACTGTTTCTTTTATGTAAAAGTGCCTTTGCATTTCATAATGTTTCAAATCTATCTTTCAGAAACTGGGCTAAGTATGCCTAGTGATACTTCACTTTCTCCAGCAAGTCAGAATTCTCCGTACTGCATGACTCCAGTGTCCCAAGGCTCACCTGCTAGTTCAGGAATAGGTAGTCCAATGGCATCTTCTGCAATAACCAAAATTCACAGCAAGAGATTCAGAGAGTAAGAGTTTTGCATTATTCACATAAACTTGAAGTTTGCACTTCTGTCACCCTCATTTAAGTGTGGATAGGTTTAGTAGGCTTAGAAGCTGAGGTAGCATAAACTACCCTTTCATCAGTACAGGTATAATCAGGTGGGGGGTGTGTGTGTGTGTGTTTTTTTTTTTTTCTTGTTGTAGATGGATGCATGCATGTGCATACGTGTGTGTGTGTAGATTTTATATATGTGTATACATATATGTGCATATATATACATATATATATATATGTATGTATACTTCAGGTTTTCCTTGCTTGCTGGCAAGGAGTAAGCTAGATAAAAGTATTTTGAAAAGGAGGTTACCCCCTCCTATGAACGTTCATACCAACATATTACTGAAATGCTGAATGCTTTCAAGTGTGTTTTTTTCTTTCTTAGCCTAAAGTATACAGTCTGCTTTCTAAATCTCTTTTCATGGTTTTGTATAACACAATTTTGAGGAAGTAAAGTATTTTTTTATTTAGTAAAAGAAAGGGCTCAGTGAACTAGTGTTGAGCACGTGCTGTCCTAACTTTGATGTTTCTTGAATTGACAGATACTGTAACCAGGTTCTAAGTAAAGAAATAGATGAGTGTGTAACTCTGTTACTGCAAGAGCTTGTCAGCTTCCAGGAACGGATTTACCAAAAGGATCCCATGAGAGCTAAAGCAAGGAGAAGGCTTGTTATGGGGTTGCGTGAGGTTACTAAGCATATGAAGTTAAACAAGATCAAGTGTGTAATCATATCTCCCAACTGCGAAAAAATCCAATCAAAAGGTATAAATGATAAAAACAAAGTGATGCATTTAACTGTTTTGTATTTACAATTTTCTCATGCCATTGAGTAGCACTGATTAACAATGTTAGCTTTTCTCAGTTGTGCTAGATATAACACTTTCAAAATCAATTGTGTAATTGCCACTCTGTACGTACTTCATTCTATTCTGTTCCATTTTGGGAGAAGCTAGTTTGAGGAGTGAATAGCTTAACAAAAAGCGATATGCATCCAAATAGATTTTTATTTTTTTCCATTCAGTATTTGATGCATCTAAAATCCTGAGCTCTGAGTGCTTTCCAGGACAATTCATTCCTTCGTGTATGTATAGGCTAACCAACATATTTTGCTGCTACCAGAAGTGCAAATGGAGGCTTCCTGAGATAAGAGCAAAGCGCTCCTCAAGAAAATTGCTGTGATGAACTCTTACAGTGTGTAGAGCAGTAATAGAGAGTACAGAATATCACTGAACAGAAGCACCTTGATCTGTATGCACAGTAGTTTATATTTGACTGTACTGCAATACATGGGTTTTGTATCTGCCTATTCCTGTCTATTACCTTCCCACATACAGCAATGGCAGTTTATTTTGAGCAAGTGCTGAATGAAAACAACTGATGACTGTATGTACTGAAGTTTTAATTGATGAATTACAGTTAAAATTGGGACACAGATTTGTATCCTATCATACCATGACTTTAACTGACTAGATATCTATTTACAATTGCTTTCTCTAAGGTGGATTGGATGAGGCTCTGTATAATGTAATAGCCATGGCACGGGAACAAGAAATTCCTTTTGTCTTCGCTCTTGGGCGTAAAGCTCTTGGACGTTGTGTGAACAAACTGGTTCCTGTCAGTGTTGTGGGTATCTTCAACTATTCAGGTGCTGAGGTGAGTAATTCACATAATGGCTGGAGTAAATCATGATCCTTGTAAATAAGAACTGATTTGTCATGGAGAGCGCATCAAATGAGTACACGGTTTATACTGGCCCTGACTTGACCTATACTAGGTCTGTTTTTCCTTTGAAATTGCTTGCTTATTTACAGAACTGAGCCTGATGTGATGAAAAACTTTCATCGCAACTTCTTCTCTGTAGCTTTTGAGTAGACTTGAAAGGCCATCTGAAATTCCCTGGAGGACTTAAGACTGTAAGGCATACCAATATTTTAAAGTAAGCACATCTCAGAGTTGTGTAAATATGGAATAGCATTTCTATGAAATAGAGCAGAACTACTTTTTGGTCAAAGTAAAGATATTTGGAACTGGTAAACTTAAGGCTGAATATGTGCTGTAGCTTTGGTTAAAAGATGTACTGTAAAGTGGAAAATTACTAGTAAGAGCTATTATATATTAAAAAAAAATGTTAATACCCTAGGACCTATTTAATAAGCTGGTATCACTGACTGAGGAGGCCAGAAAAGCATACAGAGACATGGTTGCAGCAATGGAACAGGAACAGGCAGAAGAAGCCTTGAAGAATGTCAAGAAGGCACCCCATCACATGGGTCATTCTCGTAATCCCTCTGCGGCAAGTGCTATCTCATTCTGTAGCGTTATTTCAGAACCCATATCTGAAGTGAATGAGAAAGAATATGGTAAGTGTTTTAAAACTTTTGTAACCAGAAGCTGGAATTTTCCACATGCTGCTTATTCTAAAACATAACTAAAATATAAAATTTATTCTTAATTTACAGTAGCTACAATTTTCAGGGGTAATACAAGATTGGTTAGTTTTCGGGTAGTTCCATAAGTAGTTTTTCCTAAACTATATGGGAAATAATCATTAAGTGCTAGTTCTCAGAAATCTTACAACTACCTGATGCTATTTTACTGATCAAAATCACCCTGAAAGCCAATGACAGGAGACTCGCATCAGCAGGGACTAATTCTCTAGTTTTATTGAACTAGTACAGAAAGGGGTACAGTAATAAGACTGTAAAAAGCACAGAACCAATTAGGTGGTTGAGGAGGAGCCAGTGATGCAAAAACATGACAGTGCATAGGAGCTAAGTTATTGAGTTCTCTGAAAGTCAGGACGTTTAGTGCAAATCTTGAAATGTCAGATGGCAGTGAATGATTGTGAAGGGTTATTGTAGTGTGACCATGAGACTGATTTATATATCAACTCAGTTACATCCAGATGAGAGAGCAGGGAAAAAGAAGAATGCTCATTCAAGGTCAAAAATTCTTTTTCTTTTTTAATATCTCTTTAACTTGCATTAAAACTATCTTGGTTTTAGTTAATTTTTTTATTGTGTCTCAAAAACTAGCTTAACTTGCCAAGCATTTTTCTACAAGCCCTTAAAGGGATGACTCTAAAATTGTGGCAGTTATCTGGTCTCAATTGATAATTGAGTGTAAAAGTATTTGATCTTGATTCTACTTACACTCACTGTTCATTGCTTCCACAGTGTACACAGAAAACCAAGTGCACAAATTTTCAGTTCTATAGTGCGTGTTTTAGGTTACTATTGAAACAAGTTTGTGTCATAGTGTTGTTTTTTTTTTTTTTCCTGTTTCTCACTTTTCTTTCCTCCTCACTTAACTAAAACAACTTTAAGTGTAGCATAATATTGAAATGGTTACCTCAACTGCTATTTAGCCAATTTTGGGATGTTCAGGAGAAATATTTTTATATAGAAAGAATTAATCTGTTTCTTGTTCAAACTTCTTTTTAAAATTGTAGAAACAAACTGGAGAAATATGGTGGAAACATCTGATGGGTTAGAAACATCTGAAAATGAGAGAGAATCCTCATGTAAGACTGCAGTTCCAGAGAAAGCTGGTAATGGTCAAACTGAAAAAGCCACTCTTAATAAACAGCCACCTCTGGCTACAAGTGGGACTACCTCAGCAACAAATCATGGAAAATTCACGCCAAGTGACAAAGAAGAGGTGAAACCAGATGACAATTTGGAATGGGCCTCGCAGCAGAGTACGGAGACAGGATCATTGGATGGCAGCTGCCGAGATCTGTTGAATTCTTCCATGACCAGTACTACCAGTACTCTTGTACCAGGAATGCTAGAAGAGGAGGAGGATGATGATGAGGAAGATGATGAGGATTATGCCCATGAACCTATTTCTGTAGAGGTTCAGCTTAATAGCAGAATCGAATCTTGGGTTTCAGAGACCCAGAGAACTATGGAAACTCTTCAGCTTGGGAAGACCCTTAGTGGTGCCGAAGAAGACAATGCAGAACAAAGTGAAGAGGAAGAAATAGAGACTTCTGAGCATGCTGATCCAGTCACTGATGGTGAGGAATGGACGACTGATAAGCACGCAAGTAACACGCAACATAAACCCACCATCTGCAGTTCTTTGAATAAAGAACACACAGATTCCATCTATATGCCGTAAAAAAAAAAAAAAAAAAAAAGCAGAAACTCAGGAACTTTTTAGAAACTAACTGTTGTAAAAGTTGCAGCCATTATTTCGTATGCTTCATCTCAACATTTTGCACTGTTAAACATTTAATATGTGTATTTAATTCACACCAATATTTTTTGTAGCTGTCTTTGTTACTTGTTTGATTCAAAAACTAGCTTAGCTTTTAATCGGTATCTATTTCCCAGAACAGGAACTGTGTGAAGACCTGTCAGTAGGTATTCATTTGATCTTTTGTAAAAGGAAACATCTTGTAGCTGACCAGTTTTAAGCAAAATTCTTTTTAAGATGTGACTGTTTAGCTAATTTTCAACAGATAATCTGCATTTTAAGACTGACAAATTACCGACATTTTACATGCTGTTAGGCCAGTTATGTCAGTTTATTTGGCCATCGTATTCTAGTTATAGCTAGAAATAAAAATAAAATTTTGTTTCTCTTTCATGAGAACCCACAAAACCAGTCATAATGAAAAGTAAATAGTAGGGGAAATCTATGCATGATTCTTATGCTAAGATAAATGCAGCTTTTTAGTTGGTCTTGGTGTATGCATCCATTAAAAAGCTGCTGACAGTTGAGATGGTTACAGTAAGATATAACAACTTTGATTCCAGAATAACTTTAAGCCAGAGGGTTAAAATAATTAATATATTTCTTATTATTATTTACGAAATGGAAACACTGCATTTAAAAAAAAAAAAAACAAAAAAAAGGAAAAAACAAAAATTCCCCGTGCTCTCCACCATCACTATCTATGAAACCACACTAAGTGAATCATTAACCATAATCCCTATCCAGGGTTTTAATGAACTGAGGACTTCCTCTTTCTCCTGTCACTTACCTCAGGAATGCTGTTATGCATCATGTTACCCAAATAACATTGCAAAAAGCAAGAATAGTCCTTAGCAGCAAGTACAAATAATATAGAGGTTTAGTGTACTGATATGTTCATCTACACGCTTTGATCCTGGCCACCCTCCTGCTGAGCTGAGGATGGGTCTTAACAGTTCTTACTGATAATGTGACCTCTTCTGTCTGTTCTCACAGTTGTAGCAGCCTTGAGGGTTGGCCTTTAGAGAAGAAAAGGAAGTAGTTATTCCAGGAAAGGGGGAAGTGCCCTGTAGTAGCGGGAGGTGTTTCACTGGTTCAGAGGTAAAAGAAACAAAACACACCCCTTCCTTGAAAAATACATTGTTACTAGAGAATTTTTCCGTATTTTGTTCTGAATATTGAAGTGAAATCCACTCACTGGTGATGAATTTATTCCAGATTGAAGATGGAGTATGTGTCTAAGCCTTGCATGCAAGAAGTCTCTTTTCCATCTTTATTTTACACTGTCAAGAGAAGTACCGAAACTGCCAGCAGCAGGAGTAGCTCAAACTACTCTCACTACCAGAGTAGCCAAAGAATAGCTTGCATGAATAACATTTTTATGGCAAATGTATGTTTGTTTCAATTCCACTTCATTTTTTTTTTCTTGATCACTTGCGTAAAAACACATAAAATTCTGGGTAGCTTGAATAACACAAGGAATTTATAGCTTAGTTATGTATTTAGCCCACAACTTTAGTAACATGGGACCAGCACTTCTAGTATTTGCAATGCTGGCATTTTAAGTTGCACTGGGAAAATGACTCCAGGTTTAGAAATCATCTACTCCTGTTTTTTTGGATGCTAATGAGATTAATAGAAACTGTGTGTATTATGTAAATAATGCTTTGGGTAGGTATAGGCATAGCAAATGCTATGTAGATAAGCAGTATAGAGAGCTGCTAGGACAACTGGCTGTTCTGTCACGTTCTGAAGTTCCTTAACGTAATCTTCCTAGATACTAGAGCAGGCGTTTTATAGGAAAACAAAGACTAAGTAAGGAATGATGCCTCCTGAATGTTAACTCTTTTACTATACGTGTGGCAGATTTCTACTGTCTGTATGTTTTGAAAGTCTCTTTTTGCTTTAGGAAATGATAGGTGTTTGAACTGCTGAAAGGCAAAACTTGCCCTTGGAGGTGTAGGCACGTGTCTTGGCGCCAGCTGAGATTAGTGTCTACAATGAGGGCAAAACTTTACCAGAACACTTTAAATAAATAAATAGAGGTATTTGTAGTTTTCCTTTTGCTTTTTCAGTGCCAGTGATTCAAATAACTTTTGATCTTGAAGTATTAGCATCAAAGGCGATCTTTTTATATGCCTTTTCTGAACTTGGACTGTCATTTTAAGATTTTTTGACGTTTATATCAAAATGGAAAAATTCTTGTAATATTCAGCCCACTACTTAACTGCAATTTTGCTACAGATTTAATAGAGTTCTTAAGTGATGCAGCACTTCTAATATCTCTCAATTTGCCAGCAAATAAGGAGCTGTTCTCTTTTTAAAATGTGACAGATCACCCTTAAAGGGGCAAACTGAAAACGACTAAAGGAAACTATTTTTAGGGCTTCCTTTTTGATAAGCTGGGAATGAGCAATAATAGTGTGAATGAAATTGCAATTCCTTTGAGCTCAATCCATTTGCATCTAAAATTAGGGAAGTTCCTTGCAACTTGAAGCACTTGAGAAGAGTATCTCACTGTGGTAATTTGATTCTGTTAGCACCAGAATTTAAAAAAGAAAGCATAAAAATGTTTTACAATACCATGTTTTTTTTAAAGTAGCTGAATTTCTATTTCGGTATAAAAGTGTGCAGTTTATTACACAGGTTGTTACTGTCCCCAGGAAAAGATGTCTCCGTAGTCATAGGTGTCTAGATATTCTTTTGTTGTGAAAGTGATTATTCAGAAAACAAATCTACTTTTCTTAAGGCGTTCTTTGTAGAATTGATTTCACCACTTAACTTGTCTGGTAAAAGCAAAAATAATGCGTCTGTGGTAGGGGTAGGGATCTTTAAAAATGATAGAGGTGGCTGTGTATACAACCTATTTATATAATACTCTATCTCTGTAAAAATAGTGGAACGTGGATGAAAATATGTAGAAGGGAGAAAAGCCTGAAGAACTTCTGTCCATAATTGGACCAAGTAAAATTGTCTAATTAAGGTTGTAGGACCTGATCCTGCAAACACACACTGACGAGCGTTAGTTCTGCTGACTTAAATCAGTGGACCTATTTATCTGCTTAAATTGTGTGCAAGTATTTGTAAGATTGGAGCTAAACAGTGACAGAGAGTATTGACCTGTGTTTTACAAATTAATTATAGAAAATGTTTGATAATGCACTTGTTTTCCTCTGATAAGAGGTGTCTTATGCTCATTTGGGTGGGTGGGAGCTTACACAATGTGATTCAGTCCAGTTCTTTAACACAAGCTTAAATTGTAATAGCGTTACTTAAATACATATGTAAAAAGTATTATCGTTTGAAAAGCTGCTGTTTGCTGAAACTGTCATTAAGTATTTTCTGTGAAGTTGTGCCAACTAGCGAAACTATTCAATTGATTTCAACGTTATCCATTTAAAAATTAGATACGAAGATGTGTTTACAAAACGAGAAGCCAGCAGAAGCCAGAGAAACAACCGCAGCAGCGGGTTTCCTGCCGCGCGCCCGGGCACTGGAGAACGGCTAAGCCAAAGCTCCCCTCCGCTCAACGGCAACGCTGCAAGTAGAAACCCAGTTGGCACAGCCCACCTTCTCAATGTTCATAAATAGTTCCTATATTTTACTTTTAAATAGATTCTAATGAAGCTGTTTAATCTTTAATGTCTTAAAATTTGTAGTAACTCTTAGGTTAAAGCAGTAGAAAAATCATTATGAAATACAACATGAAGGGTTTTGTTCCATTTCTTTTTTGCTGTATGAAGGATAACTGTTCTGTCTCCCGTACTTTTTGGAGTAATAACAGCTTTTTTGCACTATGTAAATACTAGTGGGGATTCTTCCATAACTAATAAAAATGATTGTAGAAGTTTATGGCTTCCACCCAGCGGTATGTTTGTTCAGCGGCTACTTTATCCCGGGTTCACGTTCTCAAACGCTGCCCTGGCGCCTCGGGTAGCTGAAAGAGGGCAGGCAGCGTCCCGCCAGGCCTGCGCTGTGCTGCGTTTGGGCACGAGGTGGAGGAGGCACGTGGCGGCCCTGCGCCGGGGCCCGGCCCCTGTGAAGGCTCCAGGGTTGGCAAAGGGCTCCCTGCCTTAGGGAGTCCCGTTCCCTGTGTTCGCAGGTACCGTGCCCTAGGGTGACCTGAAAAATGTTACGGAATGTAGAAAAATGTACTGTTCCTCGAAGACCCTGGTAACAAGTTTTAAGTCGAGAGAGCTGTCTTGAAAATGTTGTTCTTGCTGTCATGCTCCTAAAGCAAAACACTCACTTCCCCAACACAGGCACCTCTAACAATCAGGATCTCCTGTGTACTGCTAATAATGTCTCAGAATTTAAGTTGACATCCCCTTATTAACTACGGTTTTGAAATAACACGAGGTTCCCAGCATGTCCTCCCTATGTTCTCCAGTGCCGCGCTGGAAGGGCTCACTCTTCCGCGTGTCTAGTAACAGTGTCATTAACTTGCTTCGCAACTCCTACGTGTGAGAATATTTGCAGCAATTCACAAAGGATATAGCCTCATCCTGTAATTTTGAATTTTCTATTTATATGCTTTAACTTCATGTTTCAATTCTGCCATTGCAGTTGTCTTCTCTGTTAAAATACTTCTGTTATAGCACTTTCTAAGTAAGGTTTATCACTTTCTGTCAGAATTATTCTTCACATGTGGGTTTTTTGCATGCATCTTCTTGACCTGAGACAAATTTTTGGAAAGTACAAAAAAGTAAGTGGTACCTTGTGACTTGTACTATGATAATAACAAGGAAATTAACTTCTCTTCCTCCCCATTTCTTCCTTAAACCACAGTAAAATAAATGTTTTGTAGTTCCAAAGCACTTTCTTCCTTGAGAAATTTCCCTGCCTCTATTGAGGTTTTTTTTTTTTTTTTCCCAAGTAACACGATGGGCATTAACATTTTGCGTTGCTGCACACAAGCTGGAAGAACTACAGGAGAAAAACTCGCTCCTGACATTGCAGCGCTGAAGTTCTTGATTGCTGACAGCGCGTTCTTGACTGTGAGAGTAGGACGAGCTCTCAGGTATCAGGTTTATACTGACAAAGCTGGGGGGTTGCAAAGGGGATTCGGGAATCAGCATGTCAGAAATGTGTGGAAAGGCCCCAGCCAGTCGTGTGCACTTTGTACAGCAAAGTTGCTTTTTGGCTTTGCTTTCACATTTTTAGGATCACAGTGTATGAAACTCGGGAATCTTGATTTTTTTTTTTTTATTATTAATATAGCATTGGACAAAGAAGATAAGGAAATGAAGACTGGTTACCCTTTGTTTGGTAAGGGTGTTTTCTTTTTCTTTTTTTTCTTTTAAGAGTCAGCAAACAGTATGAAATGCTGGGAAACCTAGGTTGGAACATGGGTTTTGGCCACAGATGGAGAGCACTGGTGTGCTCGTAACTGTTACGTTAGAGTTGTCCTTTGACACTTGGTGATTTTCTGTTTTGCAAGACGGATATGTGTGGGTGCCCATCTGGACACTATCGAAAATGCATGGCTATCTATCACAACGTTATTTTCCAAGGACGGTATTTTAATGAATAAAGAGGAATTTAGTAATTGTATAACACCAATAACAGACTTGCTCTTATGTTCAGACACATGGGAGAGGGGGTATGGAGTAAAATGCGTTTCCTATAGTTATCTGTATGAAACTTCTGCTTGGGTTTCCTTGGAGAGCTGGTGGAGTCTGTGGTAACACCATGCGTGCAGACCGCGTTTGTGTTTGTATTTATAGTGAAAGTTAATGGGAGTCCACCCTAAAGCAAACTAGCGTTTTCATAACGCTTCATTCCTATATATGAGGCTACTTGCATCTTACATGGTTAGAAACTTGCGGGGGGACTCTTGTATATCCCCTCCTCTTCCTCCGAAAATGCAGTAAAAGCACTGGGTGGCCTCTTTCACCAAAAAAAATGGACAAAAAGTCTTCAGACTATTAAACTCTGTAATACGTTTCAAGCAAGGGAAAGGAACATTTTCAGATATGTTTCTGCCCTGAAAAGTGCTATTTCAAACCCTTGTGGCTTTTCAGCTGAGCCCGAGAAGGTGGGAGCCCTGTGGGCCACAGGCTGTCTGGGGCAGGGCAGCAGATGGGGCTCCAGGGAGCCCTGGGCAGGGGGCTGCTTGGGAGAATGGCCAAGAGGCGCTGGGTAGCGCCAGCTGGAAGGAAAGCTCCTCTAAAGCCTTCCTGGTGGAGGAGCATCACTTCTAGGGGAACAGCGCAAACAACCCCCAGGCAAGCGGAAACATCCCTGTGGTCACAGTTTCCTTTCTTATTCATTGCTGCTGATTTACTCCAGCAGTGTGGTGCCAAGCTAAAGGACCGCCTGGCGCAACTGGAAGTGGGAGATGGGAAGTGGCACAGCCCTTTACGGGGTATGTCCTTCTGCCTGAGGGGGGGTTGTGGCCATCAGCACCCCGAGGAGACGCTGGGCGAAGTTCATCCGTGCTGCTGTGTTGGTTCTTTTCACATGTGTGTTAGCTGATTGCCCTGCAAAAATACAGCTTTACGCTGAAATGCAGGAAGAGATGGTTCCTGCGTAGCAGCCCATGGATACCAAGCCCTGTGATCCTGCTAACGCATGGCTGGTTCCAGCTTCTTCTAGAGCTGACTGCAGTTCTGTGATGCTATTGCCAACACTTGTTTCATTTGGAGGATAATTTTGCAGAGCCAAAGCCTTGTGATACTTTGGGCCCAGCTGAGATTTGTCCTTGCAGCCCTCCTGCTGCAGGACTTGTGCTGCGGTCGATGCTGCATCCTGTGGTGCTTCAGCACGTTGTGGGACAACTGACGCCTGATTTTGGTTGTTTGCTTGAGCTTTTTGCTGGCGGGCCTTCTCGTGCCCTCCTGTCTTCCTGGTGAGAAGTCCTGAGGCAGGCCAGCAAGCGCTACCGCGTACACCGCAGGGCTCGCGTATGCAGAGCTCCGCTCAGAGGTCGGTCGTCAGGGCGGTCGCGCCGTCCGCCCTGCGGCGCGTCGGGTTGGGCTGGCTGGCAGCGGCATCTGGAGTCTGAATGTCGGACCCTTG